TATATATATATATATGTATATATATATATACTGTAATGTGCTCTTACCCACCTTATTCATTGCATTTGGCTCTGTGTGACTTCTTGCTCTTCCCAAAGTCAAAATGTCCATGAAAGGTAGACATTTTAAATCAGTTCAGGACATCTCCATAGTCCAACAAACATTGCCTATGAATGGACAAGAATGTTGGAATGCATGTTTCCAAAGTGAAGGGGCATATTTTGAGAGGGATTAGTGGAAAGTGTCTTTTACACTAGTAAAAAGAATTTTTTATCTTTTGGTACCAGGGATTGAATTCAGGGCCTTGCACCAGCGAGGCAGGCGGCACCACTGAGCTAAATCCCAGGCCTTATCATAATACATTTTTTTAATTTAAGCTTTCATGGTATTTTTTTTGTCACACCTCATACATTTTTTTCTCTCCAAAATGGGAGTAATAAAAGTACTTAACCTGTAGACTTACAGTGAGAAGTATCTATTATGAAAATTAAACATATATATAAATATATATATAAATGTCTAGTACCTGGCAACATGTATACTAAGTATTGTCTGTTGTTACTATCATTGCAATTATTAGTAAAGAATAACCTGGAAGAAAGATGTCTCACTGCTTCTTGACAATGGTTTTCTCTGATGCTTTCTTTTCCTGCATTAGTCCATCTGATCAAGATGTTCCAGGCACACTTATCTTGAATCAGAGGCTTTCAAGGACTGTCATGATCAAGCAGATAAATTACAATTCTGCCTGGCATTTGCCAGTGAGGTAGACAGAAACCTGAATCACATCGTCCTTGGTTTCTTCTTCTATAAATAGGGCTGTCTTTATCAGAAACTTGTTTCTGAGTGAGATGCAGAGCAAGATTCTTGTATTCTATACTGTGAAAGCTGAACTGCAGTCAGCCTCCTGCTGCTGTATTCATGGGTATCTGGGACATGTGCTCCTCTCTCTGAATTAGTTTCTGTCTGTTGAGGAAGCCAAGCTCTTGAAGAACATCAGTGCATTGCCCACAGAAAATTTCCATTTATATGTAGGTTTGTAATAAATTAAAATCTGAGGTAATGCCAAAATGAGTAAAGGGAATTTTCAAGAATCTTTTAAAACAGCCGAAGAAGTGATTATTCACAATTTTAAGTGTGAGCTTTAGAGTCACTGGAATACTCTGGCACACAATCATTTAACTTCTTTGGGCCTGTTTTCCTTATCTGTAAGATGGGGGAAATAATGAGTTCATATCAGGGACACTGTTATAAAGATGAAATGAAAGAATTTACATAAGGTACTTATCTCAGTATAGGTTATCATAATTATTTTCATTTTGTATTTCTTAAGCTATGAGGTTCCATGCGGCACCTCGGATGCATCTTTGAACTTTGCTGGGAACCACTGCTCACCTGGCGGCAAGTAATGTGCCACCCTGCTGCCCATGTGGGGCTACATGGGGTAAACTCAGTTCCACAAAGGCAGGAGAGTTAACCAATTTTCTCGCACCAGTGCTTCAGCTCAAATCCTGTGTCATTTGTGCTTATTAAAGTCATGCCCCATTTGCTCATTGTGTCATCTGCTTCTTAGTAACTCTGTGAAGTTGCTTAGTGAGTCCAAGGGATAGAGCTAAAATTTAAAACTCTGGCTTTCTCCAAATCCTATTCCTGTTACTTGTGTCAATTTGCAGCTGGGCCCCATCTCCCTTTTTCTTAAGCCCCTGGATGTTGCTTGTAAGAGTCCTCTACTTAGGTCACACCAATCTGCATGAAAAGTCCACGGTGAATGTTGTGAGAATTTATCCTTCCTTGCCTTTGCTTGTACTCTTATCACTTAAATTCTCGTTCTGCTGTTAGCTTATCTAAAGCCCACATATACTCAAGATGCAATTTAAATAGCACTTCCGTTTATTTTTAAATATTTCTTTGCTGTTCTGGCCTGTTAATATCTTTGTGTACTTGCTGCTTCCCCTTTTGTGTGGCTTCCCTGTGGTGGCCTTTTGTACACGTCTCGTGTGCACACATGCTAAGAGAAGAAACTTAGACTGTCTCACCTACACTGCGTGCAGTCCTGTGTGCGTGTGTCACACCGAGTGAACGTGGGAGGGAAGGGTGACACCTGCTGTGTGCACAGGGAAAAAGGCATGGAGGTGAGGAGTTCAGAAGAGGGATGATGTTTCCATTGCCTCAGAATGGGAACTCCACGAACATGCCACTTGTGGTTTCAGAAAGGCACTTGACAAGCCTGTTATCTTTTTTCTTTCTAATCTTTTACTTTTTTGAAAATGGGAAAATAGAAGTAGAACCAGAAACTTCTTATAATCTACACCTGCAGTGGCTGACTGAAATGCTATTTCAACTTCCTGGAAAAATTTTTTATTAGAGATCACAGTTTACTCTAGAAAAGTGCCACAAAGCAGATACAGCCTTCTGTGATTTTCAGGGATCTGTTTAACATTCATGCAGTTTTATACAGTTGAAAGCCTTTTACATACAGTGTAGAGTTTTTCTTCTTCTGAAGTTTAGAAAAGCTTCTGCCTTCAAAGTGATTCTCTGGATAATAACAATAGCTTGTTTAGTTTAATCTCATTTCTAATTATTGTTTACTCTTTTTTATTTTCCCATGAAGTTTATTGGTACTTTTTAAGTACACAGTACAGTTACATTCATCATTGGGATCTTGTACCTTTCATACAGTGTAGAGTTTTTCTTCTTCTGAAGTTTAGAAAAGCTTCTGCCTTCAAAGTGATTCTCTGGATAATAACAATAGCTTGTTTAGTTTAATCTCATTTCTAATTATTGTTTACTCTTTTTTATTTTCCCATGAAGTTTATTGGTACTTTTTAAGTACACAGTACAGTTACATTCATCATTGGGATCTTGTACCTTTACATGACATATCTTTCTTCTTATTATTTCCCCATTCCCGTGCCCTCCCTTCACCCCCTCCACCCTTCCCTATTTATGACGACTGTTTCCATTTTTTCCTTTTCTCATTTTTTTTCTTTTCCCTTACCCTTCCCACTTCCCCTACACCTCTAGCCCTTTTCTTCCTATTTCACATTATCAGTTATATAATTTGAACCTTATTTATACTTAGTGTTTCACACCAGAGAAACTATTCATTGTTTACTCTTTTCTAAGTGTTTATACAACTCTTCCTCCATCCATAAGCATCCTGCTTATGGTAGTATTTTGATCAGTACCGAAGAGCAGTATTTTTCAGACCTTTTCTGTATATACTCTGAAAGAAGGTGAAAAGCTGACCAAATTATATAAGAAATTACACCCTTATAACCCTTTTATCCATTCTATGTTTTTTGCTTTTCTGATACCAATAAATGATAGGTAAGTACATACTTATTTTTGTAATATACTAACTGGAGTTTAGGCATGAAGATGTGTGGCTTATTGTTCCTTTTAAGACTTCTTCTGTTGAAAATTACAAACACTGATGACCAAATAGTAACTCCAGGCTTAATCAAAGAAGAGAATCTATGTAGTCCAGTGACTTGCGCACAATCTACAAGTGTAGTTGATACTGGGCTCAGGAGTGTTGTGAAGAGCCAGCTCTTTCCCTTGCTGCACAGCCATGCACAGTGTCAGCATGACCCTAAGGCTGGTCTTCCTGCTGCTTCCAGCATAGCCGCCAACCACAATTAGACTGCGTGCTGCTCTTTGGTATCATTTTGGAGATACCAAGTTCCAGCATTCTGAGTGCAAGTCCCAGACCCATCCTAATTACATGAGTCCTGATCTACATCCAGGGATTATGACCACAATGGATTATGATTAGAATCATAGAATTGACTTATATCATTCAGACCTAATCTTTGAGGTTACTTTGCATTATTACATAACAAATTGCAATAAAATCTAACAAACTTAAATCAAAGGCACTTAGCACCTCACAACCCCTGTGAGTCCATAATGAAGGGGAAGGTCAGTTGAGGGGTCTGGCTCAGAATCCCTTACACAATTGCTGACGGACTGCCAGCCAGGGCCATTATCTAAAGGTTTGCCTAGGGCTGGATATCACTTCGAACAGGATTTCCTTGAATTCACTGTTGGCAAGAGGCCTTGTTTTTGTTCATAGGGCTGCTTGAGTGTCCTCATGACACAGCAGCTGACCTCATACAATAGGTGACCCCAGAGAAAGCAAGAAGCAATCTCTGCTGCCTCTCAGCACACCTGTGGATTGCACACCATCACTTCTGCATAGTCCTGTTAGAATCAAATCAGATTTTAGTTTAGTGCATGGTGAAAGATAAGGGTCTAGTTTTAATCTTGGGCAGGTTGAAATCCAGTCTTTCTAACACCATTTATTAAAGAGGCTGTCTTTCCTCCAGTGAGGATGGTTGGCTCTTTTGTCAAAGATGAGGCAGCTGAGTACATCTGGAGTTGTTTTTGTGTCTTCCAGTCTATTCCACTGATCCTCAGGTCTGTTTCTTTGCCAGTACCATGCTGTTTTTATCACAGTGGATTTATAGTATAGTTTCAAATTGGGAATTGTTATACCTGCTGCCATGTGTCTGTTGCCTAGGATGGCTTTTGCTATTCCAGGTCTCTTCTGGTTCCAAATGAATTTTTGGATTATTTTTTCTAGTTCTGTGAAATATAGTGTCAGAATTCCAATCGGCATTGCACTGAATCTGTATAGCAGTTTTGGTAGTATGGCCATTTTCACTATGTTGATTCTTCATACCAAGGAGCAGGGGATACTTTCCATTTTCTTATCCGATCTCTTTTTTTCAGAGTGCTATAGTTTTCAGTGTAGAGGTCTTTTGCTTCTTTTGTTAGATCAGTTTCTAGATACTTCATGTTTTTTGGATGTTATTATGAAAGGAATTGTTTCCCTAATTTCTCACTCAGAGAGTCTGTTATTTGTGTACAAGAAGGCTGTTGATTTGGGGGTGTTGACCTTGTATCCAGCTACTCTGCTAAAAGTGTCAATTAAGTTTAGAAGTCTTCTGGCAGAGTTTTTTGGGTCTTCTATGTAGAGTATCATACTGGCAGCAAATAGTGACAGTTTTAACTTCTTCCTTTCCTGTCTTTATTGCTTAATTTCTTTCTCTTGTCTAATTGCTGTGGCTAGTGTTTCCAGAACTATATTGAAGAAGAGTGGTGATAGTGGGCCTGCTTGTCTTGTTCCTGTTTTTAATGTGAAGGTTTTCAGTTTTTGGCCATTGAATATGATGTGGGCTGCTGGTTTTTCACAGATAGGCTTTATTAATTTGAGGTAAAGACCATTTGAGATATAGACCCAATTTTTTGCAGGGTTTTTATCATGAATAGGTGTTGAATTTTGCCAAATGCTTTTTCTGCATCTATCAAGAGGATCATACATTTTTTATCCTTGACTCTGTTAATATAATGTATTACATTTATTGATTTACGTATGTTGAACCATCCTTGCATCCCTGGAATAAATCTGACTTGGTCAGGATGTATGATCTTCTTGATGATCCTCTGTATTCTGTTTGCTAGTATCTTTTTAAGGATTTTTGCATCTATACTTATTAAGGAGATTGGCCTGTAATTCTCTTTTTTAGTTGAGTCTTTCTCTGGTTTTGGAATCAAAGTGACACTTGCTTCCAGGAATGAATTTGGAAGTATTGCTTCCCTTTCAAGTGGATTAAATATCTAAATATTAAAAAACAGTCACTAAATGCGCTGGAAGATAAGTTAGGCAGAACTCTTGAAGACATTGGCATAGGAAAAGACTTTATGAATAAATCCTCAGTAGCACAGGAACTAGCAGAAACAATCAACAACTGGGATCTCATCTTATTAAAAAGCTTCTACACTGCATAAGAAACCATCAACAGAACTAAAAGACAACCTACAATGTGGGAAAAAATTTTTACCAGCTGCTCCTCAGACAAAGGACTATTATCTAGAATATATAAAGAACTCAAAACAATCAGCCCCAACAAATACAAAGACCGGATTAAAAAATGGGCATCTGAAATGAACAGACATTTCTCAGACAAAGAGGTAAAAGCAGCAAGTAAATATATGAAAAAATGTTCCACATCACTGGTTATTCAAGAGATGCAGATGAAAACAACACTTAGATTCCACCTCACCCCACAAAGAATGGCTGTTATCAAGAAATCACACAATAACAAATGTTGGTGGGGTTTTGGAGAGAAAGGAACCCTTCTCCATTGCTGGTGGGAGTGCCTGCTGGTACAACCACTATGGAAATCAATATGGAGGTACCTCAAAGAGCTGGGACTAGAGGTTCCATTTGACCCAGCCATCCCTCTGCTGGGTACCTTTCCATAAGAATTAAAAGAATCATCACAGAGATATGTGTGCACCTATGTTTATAGAGGCACAGTGTGTAATAGCTAAAACTTGGAGACAACCCATTTGCCCATCAGTTGGAGATTGCATAAAGAGGATGTAGTTTTTCTATAAAATGGAATACCACTCAGCCATAAAGAATGAGAAATTAGATTTATTCATAGGAAAATGGATATATATATTGAGGGTATACTCCTAAGCGAAATAAATAAGTCACACATGTATAAATACTGAATAGTTTCTCTGGTTTTAAAAACTATAATGGTGCAAAAGATCCTAATGATAAAATTGACAATGTGAAATAGGAAGAAAAGGGCTAAAGGTGTAGGGAAAGTGGGAAGGGTAGGGGAAAGGTAATAAGGGAAAAGGAAAAAAAAACATGAGAAAATGAAAACATGGAAATAAAGTATTTGTAAATAGGGAAGGGAGGAGGGGGTGAAGGGAGGGCAGGGATAAGGGGAAAAAATGAGAATGAAGACCTGTCACGTAAAGGTGCAATGATCCCAATAATGAATGTAACTGTACTGTATACCTAGAATGTACCAATAAACTTAATGAGGAAAAAAAATACAGAATCAAATTAGAGGGCCCCGCCCACACTATTGGGCTTACTGTCTTGAAAGGAGTAACAAAGGATTGCCTTTCCAGTCTTACTCTACTACCTTAGAGTATATGGAGAAAAGAGCGGTGATCTGAGAAAGGACGATGAGGGAGAGAAGGAAGAGAAGGGAGATACTGATGGGAGGCAGTTGTTAAGGGCAGCAGAGCAGGGGTGAATATTCTGCTGAAAATCTACTGGATTTACAAAGTGGTGAGATGATAACGAGTATTAGGGAAATGGTCAGCAAATGCCTACTGTACCAATGAATAACTTATGAAGAAGTGTTGGGTGTTATTATTGCTTACTTTCTTAGATAAGAGACTTCTGATTTGTCTAGGTAAGAAAGTTAAGTTTTAGAGCTGTGAAATGGGATATCCAGCTTTTCAGCTAGGTAGAAGGTAAAATAAAAGCCTGTGTCTTCCGCTTATGACTGACTGCCTGAAGGAGGGTGATGGAGGGAGATGTCCAGTGACCGCCGAAACACCAGGCATTTAGTCACAGCCCGTGACTCAGTTGTTAAAATCTCAGTCAAGTCTTACCTTGGTGTCGCAGTCGTGACCATGTCCGTCTGAGGGTAAGCTCAGCTCGTGTGAACGTGTTTCAGAGAAGCTATGACAGGAGTCCTCTTTTCTTTATTTTCCTTTTGCATATTTTTCCGGGTTGAAAACTGTAATGTAAAATGTTACAAGCTGTGACTAGAAGAAAAATCTGAAACTCTTATTTTAATTTTATTCAAATAAACATTAAAGGTAACAACAAGTATTACTGAACATTTGGTTTTGATAAAGTATGCAAAAAACTAGACCAAGTAGGTGCAGTGCCCCAGCCTTGGCAGGCGTGCAGGGAGTTTTTGGGCCCAGAGACATTTACACTGTACAGCAGGTCAAAATGCCCTGTGTCACTAGAGAGCAGATCTTGGTGTTGCGTCCCTGAGTGCAGAGCTTGCACCAGTAATTGCATCTCTCTTCTTAGGGATGGAGTGCAGCAGAAAAGAATGAAGTCAGACTTGGTTGTTATTTCTAAACTCCAGACCAAAAAGAGAGGAATCAGGGTACTTCACTTGTTTTTGAATGGCTAATTCAGACAGCCAGTTACACAAGACTAAATTTGCAAGTGCTAAATGTTTGAGATGAATTATTGAATACATTTTTGCTATCTGGATATTTTGCTAAAGTTACTAAAGGTGTCAGACATATGGGAGGATGAAGTCATTTGATTGCCTGATGGAGAATTTTTTCCTTGGAGAAGTCTGAAATTTTGCCTAAGAAGAGATTTCTAATAGTGGACTTGGAATTTTAATTGCTTTTCTAGCTCTTGGGTAGAAGAATATGTTTAGAAGTTTTAGATACACACCTCTCTATTTAGATATAACTAGTCTGTTCCAAGGTTTCTGAGAATTGTGTTCTTGTTTTTCTTTCTCTAGGATCAGGGGGGTTTGGGCATTGCTATCAGTGAAGAAGACACACTCAGTGGAGTCATCATAAAAAGCTTAACAGAGCACGGGGTAGCAGCCAAGGTGAGGGCTTCCCATTCTCACTGTCCCGAGGTGGTGGAAGAAGAAATTCCTTCTGAAAGTCACTGAGAATCCCCTCCATTTCCCTTTAGGATGGACGCCTCAGAGTTGGAGATCAGATCTTAGCTGTGGATGATGAAGTTGTTGTTGGCTATCCTGTTGAAAAGGTAATTTTGCACAGCAAACTGTGTGGTCCTGTCACCCCCACCCTTGAGTATGGCTCCTGTGTGTGCATCTGGGTCAGAAATCATGGGGAATTAAGGCTGGTTGGCTATATTCAAAGTATTCTCAAGGAAAAGAAGAAATTATTAACAAGATCATTGATTCCTATTTTCTACCTTCCAATAAAGCTGATGTTAAGATACTATTATTTGGATAATTTTTTTGGTATTCACTAGACATTTTTGATAAATGTGGCTTCCATTTTCCCTTAGAAAAACTTGAAATTTATAAACAGTGGCTCACTTCATATTAAGACTAAAGGGACATTTTTCTTATAAATGTTTATTCCCGTGCATATCTGTGTTATACCTTGCCTTAAAAAAAGACATTGACTCGGCTATTAAATGGATAATTTTTACTAGTTTTGAACAATTCTTTGTACTTGAGTTTTTGCCGCAAAAATGATCATACTTTGAGTCATATATAAGTATCAGAAAGAGGCTTTGTTTTCCCTGAGATGTACTATTCTTTTTTTCTCCAGTATAGTGAGGGAGCACCATGTGACTGACCATATTTACATTTCTACATTGGCTAGCAGGAAGCTCAAAGCCATTTTTTTTAAAAATCCAGTTTTACTAATTGTATAGGTTGGATCCTTAAATGTATAAATCTATGTTTTCCTTTCCATTTGCTTTGACTTTTCTGTTGTAGAACTTTCCCATCTTGCTTTTAACACATGCATTTCTGTGTCTCTATTGTATTTAAAAATGTTTGTGTGCACTGTTTCACGTTCTTCTAGAATCAGGAAGTAGATAAAATACCTTATATATCTCCTAAGGTTGCAGTGATCCAGAAAAATATATGGAAGTAATTGGAAATGAGAAATATTGAAAACCCTCTTCTTACACAAGAATACAGCATTGGGAATACAGGACTAAGAGTAGAAATTAGCTATGGCCTTAATCGACATTAGGTATTTGGAGTAACTAGAGAAAAACTAAAGCCATTTCTTTCTTCATACTCAAATCCCAACAAAGAAATGACTTGCCTTTGTCTCAGTTTTTTTTAACAATAGATAGAATTAGGTTCCAGTGATAATGGTGACTTGCACCTGCTTTAAGTCTACTAATTTGTCTTTGAATTTCGTTTCCCTTCCGCACCAACACCTCCTCAGTTTATTGGTCTGCTGAAGACAGCAAAGACGACAGTAAAACTGACCATTCATGCCGAGACTCCAGATTCCCAGACTTTTCCCTCAGCAGCTGGAGCAGCCAGTGGAGAAAAACCGCGCAGCTCACCTTCTCCCATGGTCCCGCAGTCTGGCACCCCAGAACCGGAACCGGAAGTGGAAGCAGAGTCCCTCCGAAGTAAGGGCTGGTCTTGAGAGAGACCTGCACCTACATCTCAGCAAAGCCAGCTGCCTGCTGTTCTTACCTGAGAGGCCTTAGTCCGGGAGCATTGGAGAATGGGTAGTTCAAAGAGAGGCTCCTGATAAAGAGTCCTGGAGTGTTGGGGAGGAGATTGAAGTGCTGTGCATTAGCCCACCGCGTTTGACCTCCTCTAAATTTGGGGAGTCTTCTTCACTCTCCGAGAATCTCTTGCTGAGGCCTCTTCTGATCCCAGATAGCAAATGAATGAACAGGAAATACTGTTTTGTGGGATTTTTTGTTTTGTTTTGTTTTGTTTCTTTTTGAGGCAGGGTTGCACGGATAGTTCAGGCTCATCTTTAGCTCACTATGGAGCCCAGGTTGGCCTCATACTCTCAGGGAGCTTCCTGCCTCAGTAATCCCTGCTGGGTTTACTGGCATGTGCCACCACACCTGGCTATAGATTTTTTTTTTTAATATTGACAAACTAAACTTTTCTAAGCCTCGGTTTTCTTATCTGTAGAATGAATGTACAGTGACTCCATTTTACAGATTGGCTCAGGACTGAAAAGCTCTTGTGCCGCATGCACTGCAGAGCAGAGTTCTGGGTTGGGGCTTCTGTCAGTGCCCTTGGAAGTCTGAATAAGGAGGCGAGACTTGAGCACAGCGGATCTGCCAGGCTGGTGCATGAAAGCAGATTCTTCCTCTAGTTTCATTTCAAAGAAGTACACTGGTGTGCAGTAAAAAAGCATCATCTATATTTTTGAAAAATGATTTAAACAAGTTCACTTTTTCTGCAGTTGGTGGGGATCTCTGGTGAAAGTAGGCCTGCATTCAGAAAGAATGGGTAATCTGCTGAAGTGTTAAAGGCTTTCATGGAAAGTTTTTCAGTTTTATATGTGTCCCGAAATAGCATTGTCTATAAATGCTAAATTAAAATTCAAGGTAGAAGAAAATATCTTACACCTGTTCCTGCCATTTCAGGAAAAGAAAATAGTGTGTTTCTGATTTCCCATATAGAGAACATCTTGTCTAAAGCATACACTACTTTACCAAGTGCTTTTCTCTTGGAAAACGTGCTGTCTCCCTTATATTCTGGTATGTAAAGCATACGATAGGCTGCGAAGACTTTCATACAAAATAATATTTTGATTCCTTTTTCATAATAAAGTAAAGGCCCGGGGTTTGATGTAAAAGTTTATAAAACAAATAAGAACAAAAAAAAACCCAAAATTTTATTGTCATATATATTCAAAATGATTACATTTAAAAAATGCTCCGGGATAAGATAAAAACATAAAAAGCTCAGAAGAACAGGGCCATAACTGAATTAAATGCTGTTTTGTGCTCACTTTCTGGGCGTGTCACTTAAGTTGCTGTCGCATGTCGCAGTTCTGAGTGAGATGTGTCTCTCTCTAGTGAAACATAGAGTGTCAGAGTGGAACTGCTCTCTCAAGTCTTTGTTCTCACACCCAATCTTTCATGTCTCAACAACTTAAAAAATACAGAGAATGTATAAAAGAAATTAGAAAACAGGTAATTTTATACCTGCTGCCTAAATGAGCAGTGATGATTTAGTTTTGATGTTTTTTAAAAGTGATAATTAAAAGGCTTGAGGCAAATTTGAAGTGTCTTCCCCAGTTTGAGGCCTCTTCCAGCCCTATCATTCACAGCCTTCGTGGTGTCTAAGTTTGACATATACACCTTGTAATCAGTCTGTAGTTATTTTTATTTCATCTTTAATTTATTTTTAGGTACAAGCAGGTCTTCAACACCAGCAATCTTTGCTTCTGATCCTGCAACCTGCCCCATTATCCCTGGTTGTGAAACAACAATTGAGATTTCCAAAGGGCGAACAGGACTGGGCCTAAGCATTGTTGGGGGCTCTGACACACTGCTGGTGAGTGGCCTGCGAGGTGCTCCGGGCGTGTGGGCGGTTCTCGGGCAGCCCTGGAGACCATCAGTCAGTTATTCAGTGAAATACAGAGCTGTCACTGCGCGTTGACTGTATGAGGCACATACTCAACAGGGTCCCAGGGTTACTAGTTTCAGTAAGCCAGTACTGACGCACATGTTCTCTTACTGTGCTGTGACCTGTCGTTTTTAAAGTGTTTCTATCAGTTTATCAGTCCTTGACATTTTAATTTTCTGTTTTGCTAATCTCTGAGCTAGGGTAGACATATAGTGAGAGGCATCTGAAAAACTGAATTACTTGTAGACAACATTTTCTAAATATTAAAAATACTGTAAAATTATTTCATTTTTAGATAGGAATGATCATGCATATCTATGGTGTTAGTATGATCTGTGTTTCATATTTTTTAACCTATTTAGGAAAGTAAAAGGTTTTAGTTACCTTTATTTAGCAAAAGCTGTTTGTTACATATTTCCTTGAGTTATGATGCATGGCCTCCTTATGGTTGTCTGTGAAAGTAGGATAAAGCCTGCACATATTGTATTTGGGTCTCTAGGGTGCCATTATCATTCATGAAGTTTATGAAGAAGGAGCAGCATGTAAAGATGGAAGACTCTGGGCTGGAGATCAGATTTTAGAGGTAAGGATCCTTGGTTTTGATCTTGAAAAATAACACCCATGGGAAGGTGTGTTTCTTTCTTTCTTTCTTTCTTTCTTTCCCTGTTTCCACCCTCTCCACCCCATCCTGTTTTCACTGAACTCACCACCTATGTCCCATTTCTATGCAGGTGAATGGAATTGACTTGAGAAAGGCCACCCATGATGAAGCAATCAATGTCCTGAGACAAACACCCCAGAGAGTGCGCCTGACACTCTACAGAGATGAGGCTCCGTACAGAGAGGAGGACATGTGTGACGCCCTCACTGTTGAGCTGCAGAAGAAGCCGGGAAAAGGCCTCGGACTGAGCATTGTTGGTAAAAGGTGAGCCTGGGGAGAGCGAACCCAGTGACCTTTCAGCAGTAGCTACATCAGTAGAATCTTTGTCAGTGCTCCAGGTTAACAGGTGGCTATCCCTGGCCCATTTGCTAAAGGAGCATAGAAAGACATGGGTTGTACAGCTTTGAAGTCAGTATGTTGGGAGATTTTGAAGATCCTCAACAACAAGCCATCTGGTGTTTTTAGAGTGCGTGCTGCATGCCAGGAAATACATTAGATTCTGAGAAATAGAGATAAAGTAAGATATAATTCCTGACCTCAAAAATGCAAAGTCTGGTGAACAAGAATTAAATATGTTCCTGCAAAAGATAAATCTATTGATGAGAGGCAGAGGTGCGTTGTGGGAGAGCATGCCAGCGAAGGAGAGAGGGACCAGGTGACCTTATTTAAAGGAAGTGAGGGGCTGGGGATTTAGCTCAGTGGTTCTGGCGCCTGCCTTGCAAGCTCAAGAACCTGAGTTCAATCCCTGGTACCTAAATAAATAAATAATAAATAAAGGAAGTGAATTGGGGAGAAGTTCCAAGAAAAGAGGTCCTAATATAGTAATATTGAGAAATATTAAATGCCATAACTCTTTCTTCACTTAGTAATGTAAGCCCTGGAGATCAGGACATGCTATACAGTTAAATGAAATCAGCATTCAGTGAAATGTGACTCTGTAGTCAACACTCTCAGGCCTTGTATGTTCACAATTTCAAAGCTGCTTATTTTTCACAGTGAGTCAAAAATGTATGAAATTACAACCAGAATACTCTGGAAACAAGTACTTCCAAATTCCCAAGCCAGCACAAGCTTACCTGATTTTCCATTTCATTTCAGTATGGTAATAAAAGGACTTCTCTACCAGTATGTTCTTTTAGAGACAATTGAAGAGTAATTTTTTAAACACAGAAAGAATATAGCATACTGTTTGAATCTCAGTGGGTTATATCTAAAATGTCAGATGTGCCTTTTTTGGAATGGAGCATCAGTAGTTTACTTTTTAGAAAATACAGTACACTTGAAATTCATTTGCAAATAGGCTGTTATAATATTGGGGTCCCCGAATCATTGTAATAACTTCCAGTAATAGTTCCACAGATTGCCATGGGAAGAGCAGGCAAAGATCCCATCTAACCCCACAGCCTCACCTAGATGGGAAAGCATGGATGCGATGGTGCAGTGGCTTCTCTGGGCTTCTGACCTTGGCGGGAACAAGGGGTGCAACTCCGCTCCGCTGTGCACTTAGTTACTTTTTCTGTCAACACAAAAGTTTGGGTATTCTTCTTTTGGGTTTTTTTGTTTGTTTGTTGTGTTTGTAATTTTGTGAAGGGATTAGAGTAAGTTTAATGTTTGCCTATTTAGGATAAATGGATGTTATGTAAAAGATAGTTGAAATGATTGAAACTAAAAGCTGCTCATAATAATGAGTGGTAAATTTCGAGTAATTAAGTTTTGTTTGAGATGTATATCTGTCTATTTTCAACAGCATTAATGATGTTATGGTAATAGAAACATTTAAGTAGCCGAAGGTAAATATCCATTTAAGGCCTCTTTATTCTATAGAAAGAAAAACAGCCAGGGATTTAACTCAGTGGTGCCACCACTTGCCTTGCAAGCCCAGGGTCCATTTGATACCTGGTACAAAAAAAAAAAAAAAAAAAAAAAAAAAAAAAAAAAAAAAAA